CTACACTTTTAAAAACTTCTCAATGCTATCATTTAACAATGTATTTAAAATATTACATATGGAGGGGCGCCTGGGTGGCTCAGTCAGTTAAGCGTCCGACTTCGGCTCACGTCACAATCTCACGGTTCGTGGGTTCGAGCCCCACGTCAGGCTCTGTGCTGACAGCTAGCTCAGAGCCTGGAGCCTGCTTCAGATTCTGTGTGTGTGTGTGTCTCTCTCTCTCTGACCCTCCCCTGCTCACACTCTCTCTGTCTCTCAGAAATAAATTTTTAAAAACATTAAAAAATTTTTTTAAATAAAAAATATTACATATGGGATTCTAAGTGATTATCAATCACTATAATTTACAAAAGTGATAAACAAGTGCTTAATTACCATTCTCTAGCAGATCACTGAAAAGGAACTCCTTAGAAATGAGTAAAATGTTTGTATTTACATAGAGGATGCTTTGGGAAAAATACTAAAAAAGTAACATAATGACCTGAGAGTACCGCACAAGTTGGCTATTTTTACTAAATGTGCTACATATTCATGGACTCAACGACCTATACCAATTCTGGGCCGGCCACCATGTAAGACTCTGGGCACAGTGTACTGACAAAGATGAGTAAGAAAGTCTACAACCTATCACGCATACCAAACTCTGTTATTAATCATTCCAACACATGTCATTATAAAGTAACATTTCACTAATGGTCTAAACATTTCAGTCGGGACCTTCTGAAGCCCAGTTGAACAAAAACATGAATAAGCAGTAAGAACAGAAATAAACCTGTATTTTGTATGTTTCAATATGAAATACTCTACAAATGAATCCTATTTCTAAATAATACTCATTAGATTGAGACAGTAAAAGAGAGAAGCAGCCACCAAAAGCTGGCCAAGATATTCCAGTGGTACTTGGGTCAGTCCAAGGGAAGAGGGCACTCGATCGCCCTCTCGGCTTTACTGCTGCACATACACAGATGCAGTCAAGGAGCTGAATCTGAATTCCAAACCGTTGACACTTTCAATTGCCATGTTTAAATGAGTGAGCCTGGGGTTCTTTTATGTTAGCCAAAATATGGAATCGTGAGCACATCCTGCAGCTCCCCATACGATGAAGAAAAATACGGGAGTTTTCAGAACATGGTTCATGTCTGAAAACTCATTCTTAAAGGGGAATCTTACTCTTAAAGGGAATGGTGGTTAATAAGTAGACTAGCTAATCCTTCTTGAGAAGAATATTCTCCTTGGGGCATCTGGGTGGCTCAGTCAGTTAAGTGTCCAACTTCGGCTCAGGTCATGATCTCATGGTTCATGGGTTCAAGCCCTGCGTCGGGCTCTGTGCTGACAGCTCAGAGCCTGGAGCCTGCTTCAGATTCTGTGTCTCCCTCTCTCCCTCTCTCTCTGACCCTCTCCCTGCTCACGCTGTCTCTCTCTCTCAGAAATAAATAAAACATTAAAAAATTAAGAAAAAAAAGAAGAATATTTTCCTTTCAATTACGGGGGGGAAAGTTCCCAAATCAAGGTAGGCCACGTGAAAATTCGAAAATCAAAAGCAGAAGCTTCAAATAGCGATTCTAAAACATTATTAACCAAATGATGAGCTATGCTTTCTAGAGCCATTTACCACACAAGAAAAAAGCAAGTGTTCTCATATAAAATGCCAGGCAGGTAACTTTTATTATATCATAACCCATAACACTTTTGAGCAAAGCATTTGTTACACTGGTACTTAAATTAGCTATACTAGTTGAATTCACCTGAGCAAGTTAAACTATAAGCTAAATTTCAAGTGTTCTGCTTATTTTTACACATTCTGAACCACAGACACCCAAGTTTATTTGAAGCTGTAATCACTTTGTAAACCTGGAAGTCAATTAGAGGAATTGTAATGCGCCAAATCAAAAAAATACATACCCAAAAACTGTTTTTAATATCATTTGTTCAGAACTTATTAAGATTAGGTTTTATTTCAATCTCTATAACCCTTTAAATAGTAATTAAAAAAATAAGTTCTAAAAAGCAACATGAAAACAGAGGCATAATAGATTCTATTTGTAATTAAATGGCATAATGAAATAATGCTGTCAGTTATAATGACCATAAAGAGGTTGTATTTTTTTTTTTTACAAATAGTTTATTGTCGAATTAGTTTCCACATAACACTCAGTGCTCATCCCCACAAGGGTCCTCCTCCATGCCCATCCCCCCTCCCCCCCACATCCATCAGTCCTCAGTTTTTGTCAGCATTCAAAACCTCTCATGGTTTGCCTCTCTCCCTTTCCCCCACCACTTCCGCCCTTCTTCTCTCTCTTGTTCCTCCGTCAAGTTCCTCCTAATCCTCCTATACGTGCAAACATATGATATTTGTAAAGAGGGTGTATTTTTGAGCCCTCATCTATAATACTATTGTGGATATTCTTTCTTTTTTTTTTTTAACGTTTACATTTTAGAGAGAAAGACACACACAGAGCACAAGTGGTGAAAGACAGAGGGAGACACAGAACCCAAAGCAGGCTCCAGGCTCTGAGCTGTCAGCACAGAGCCGGACACGGGGCTCAAACTCACGAACTGTTGAGATCACGACCTGAGCTGACGTTGGATGCTCAACCGATTGAGCCACCCAGGCGCTCCACAGTTTATCACTTTAAAACTATTTTTAAATGTACACTTCTATGGCATTATGTAACTTTACAATGCTGTGCAGGCAAGCTAACTCATTGCTTTATTTACTCTCGTTGTGTAAATTATCTACACTTACTGTAGAACAATTCATAAACAGATTCAGGTAAAATGAGCATTAACCAGCATCCTACCACACAGGTATCATCACCATTAAGGGTTTAATGTATATTCCTTCAGGCCTTTTCTAAGCATTTTTTTTTATTTTTAGATAAAAATTAGATCGCAACACATAAGACATACAGACGTGCTCTGCTCATTTAATATGCTGCAAATTTTTCATTTAAATAAATGATGGTCTACATCATTCTAATTTTCTTAAGCTTATTTATTTATTTTGAGAAAGAGAGAGAGCACATGCATGTGAAGAAGGGTGGCGCAGAGAGAGGAGAAAGAGAATCCCAAGCAGACTCCGTGCTGTCAGTGCAGACTGACACAGGGGTTGATCTCAAGAACCGGGAGATCATGACCGGAGCCATGATCAAGAGTTGGATGTTTAACTGAGCCCCCCAGGAGCCCCTACATCATCCTATTTGACAGTAGCACAGAACCCCAGGATACCCAGATATCACAGTGGGCAGCTTATTATGATAGTAATCCACAAAACAAATAGAAGTGGATTATTCACATGTAAACCGGATGACATCTAACTATTTTAACATAGCCTGCTCTTGGGTACAGTGTTCAAATCTGAAAAATAATCATAAGCACCAGTTTTGGTTCAACCAAATAAGAAAAACTAGCTTCTATTTGAAGTATGATGAAACTGGGTTTTAACAGTAAAATTTTAAAAGAATCTAACGGGATTGTACGTTAGATTCCGAGTTCTCTAGGGGTAAGGTCCATGCCATTTCATCATCTAGCATTGTGCCTACACACAGCAGTCTCAAGTAGATACGCGTAATGAGAGATCATTATATAACAAGTTAAATGACACTTGTTTTTGTTTTTGTTTTTTAAGTTTATTATTGAGACAGAGACAGAGCATGAGTGGAGGAGAGACAGAGAGAGAGGGAGACACAGAATCTGAAGCGGGTTCCAGGCTGGGAGCGGTCAGCACAGAGCCCGACGCCGGGCTAGAACTCATGAACTGTGAGATCATGCCCTGAGCCGAAATCAGACACTTAACTGATTGAGCCACCCAGGTGTCCTGGAAATGATACTTCTTAGAAGCAATTATCAGAGAATATTCCAGAAGGGGGGACCCTCCACAGGTCACACAGCCTGGTGTAGAACCAAAGTGAGGGTGATATAGGACCCAGAACTCTTCTGGACCAGCAGAGCCTTAATGTATTCTGTCAAACAAGCCATGGCTGTTAAGGCTATTTTAGGTGACAACTGAAGAAAGCCTGAATATGAATTTCTTCTTAGATATCATTAAAGATTTCTAAATTAATAAAATTTCTAAATTAGTAAATAAAGTCCACCTAATAAAGGTGGATGATGGTACTGTAACTATGTGGTAAAGTTCCTTATTGTCTACAGAGAAATCAGGGATAAACGTCATAATACCCGAGCTTACATGATATATTTTAACAAAATGATGATGTAAGTCTGGTAAAAAACATTAACGGTTAAGTCTGGGTAACGGGCCTAGGAGAATTCAATAAGCTATTCTGTTTTATCTGTATGTCTGAAATGCCCCATCATCAGAAGTCGAAAACGGAAACCCCTTCCAAAATAATACTAGATTCCTTCCTCAAAGTATATATCCAAAAACAAAAAACAACAAAAATAAAAACACCAAAGGCTTAAATGGCTGACTGTGGAAAAGGAAATTATTTTTTAAATATAAAATATACATGAGACTATCTAAAATAAAGGCAAACTTCTAGTCAATTAGGCTCATCTAACGCAATTTAAACTTCAGAGTATTTCACTGGGCATTTAAGTTTATAGGAATCACTGCCCGAATAACCAGTGTATTTCCTATCAACTGGCTCACAACTCGAGAGCCTCGCGCTCCGCCTGGGCCGCCGCGGCGGCTTCCGCTATGCGCTCCTCACAGGCCGCGCTGCGCACGCAGGGGCGTTACTGTCACCACACACACACACACACACACACACACACACACACACACACACGCACACCAAGACGCATGCGCACTGCGTGCTGCTCGCCCCCCCGCCCCCCAAGGGCCCTTTGCTCAAAACCACGAGCGATGGTCGTGCCCTTCCTGTGTCACCTTTCCCTAACCCATCAGGAACGCTGTGCTTACCATCTCTCCTAAAACCCCTCATACCTCTTCCCTGTTCTCGCCCCGCTTCTCTGCTGCATCTGATGTTCGTGGCCCCCAGTCCTGCAGCCCTCCCCCCCCCCCGCCCGCTGCGGGCCCCACGACACGGGCTCCCGAGTCTTCTTTCTCAGGGCCTCTTCCTCCTTAGCGGGCTCCGGCCCTGTGCCCAGCCGTGCTTTGTGCCCACTGTGTCCTCAGTCAGCTCACTGACTGAACGAGTGCATGTGCCCGCGCTGCACCGGGCACAAGGCTAAGTCTTGGGGGCAGCAAGGTCCCTGTTTGGCATAAAGCTGCTGCCCTACTGAGCGCAGGAATGGCCGAGTTGTAACCAGGTAAAACAACGGCTTTAGTACCTAGTACGTGCTTGTAAGTACGCGGAGAAGGGAGGCAGGGCCACGACGCACAAGGACAGGAGCCGGCAGGTACATCCCCTGGGCGAAAGGCGGCCCCGCCCGCCACCTGCGGGGGGCGCAGACCCACAGCCGGAAGGGGCCCACAGCGGGGTGTGGGAAGCGGCAAGGAGTCCGGGGGGCTGCAGTCCAGAAGTGGAAGGAAACGAGGTCAGGGAGATCTTCAGTAACCGGGGAGGGCTGCAGATGTAATCCTGGGGAGGCTCTCTGGGGGCTTTGCCTCAAATGTCACCTGATGTCCGAGGCCTCTCAAACCTGAACCTTCCATATGGCAAAGCTGGCATCGCTCTTCTGCGGCCCTGTGATCCCTCCATTCTCAACATACCTACAGGGGTTTCATTTTCTGGGTTTTTTATTGTCCAAACTGAAAACTGCCACACAGACATGGTGTTTCTATTCAGTTTATTTCTGTATCATTTTCATAATCACTCAAGAAACACACTCATCTTTGACTCTCTTCCTCTCTTCTGACCCATAGCTCAGCAACATTCATCTTAACAATTCTTTCAGAAATGTCTCTCTTCACTGCTGACAGCCAACCAAGACACTCGTTACCAAACTGGAGACCCCTGAAATGGCTTCCCAGATGGTCTCCCTTCGCCCATCCTTCTCCCTGTCCAAGGTGGCCCACGTAGGACTACAGGCCTGAGCGGCCTTCCTCAAACTCTTACTCCACAGGTCATTCTCCTTCTCAAAAAAACACAGGTCTCTGCAGGACAAAGGCCAACCCCATTAGTCTGACGTCCAGAGTCACTCATAAGCAAGCCCACACATCTTTTTCAAATTTTATTTCTTACTATAAAAACAATGAGCACCCCACGAAAAATACTATTAGAACTGAGAAATGAGTTCAGTAAAGTCACAGGATATAAAATTAATACCCAGATATCTGTTGCATTTCTACACACTAAAAATGAAGCAGCAGAAAGAGAAATTAAGAAAAAAAAATCACACTTATAATTGCATCATAAATAATAAAACATCTAGGAATAAAACTTAACTAACCAAGGAGGTGAACGACCTATACTCTGAAAACTATAAAACACTGGTGAAAGAAACTGAACATGGCACAAATAAATGAAAAAAAAATGGAAGAACAAAATGTTGTTAAAATGTCCATACTACCCATTGCAATCTACAGATTTAGTGCAATCCCTATCAAAATACCAATAGCCGTTTTCACAGAACTAGAAAAAATAATCCTAAAATTTGTATCAAAACACAAAAGACCCCAAATAGCCAAAGCAATCTTGAAAAAGGAAAACTGGAGGTATAAAAATTCCAGATTTCAAGATATGATACAAAGCTATAGTAATCAACAGAGTATGGTACTGGCACAAAAACAGATACACAGATCAATGGAACAGGACAGCCTGCCCAGAAATAAACCCACACTTATTTCATCATTTTATCCGTAACAAAGGATGCTGCAATACACAATGGGGGAAAAGACAGTCTCTTCAGCAACGGTGTTGGGAAAACTGGACAGCAATATGCAAAAGAACAAAACTCACACCATATGCAAAAATAAACTCAAAATGGGTTAAAGACCTAAACGTGAGACCTAAAACCATTAAGCTCCTAGAAGAAAACATAAGCAGGAATTTCTCTGACATCAGCCATAGAAACATTTTCTGAGATGTGTCTTCTGAGGCCAGGAAGACAAAAACAAAATTAAACTATTGGGACTACAACAAAATTAAAAGCTTCTGCACAGCAAAGAAAACTATCAACAAAACAAAAAGGCAACCTCCCGAATGAGAGAAGATATTTGCATGACAAGATATTTGCGTGACATATCCAATAAAGGGTTAATATCCAAACTATGTGTAAAGAACGTACACAACTCAACACCAAAAAAACCAAACCAAACCAACCACCACCACAACAAAAAATACAAATAATCTGATTACAAATCAGGCAGAAGAGCTGAATAAACAAAGACATACACATGGCCAACAGGCATGAAAAGATGTTCACCACCACTCATCATCAGCAGAATGCAAATCCAAACCACAACCAGACATCACCTTCCACCTGTCTGCATGACTAGAAACAAAAAGACAAGAAATAACAAATGTTGCTGGGCTTGGGGGTGGGGCGCAGGGCAGGGAGTGATGAACCTTTATACAACACTGCTGGTAGGAAGAGAAATTGGTTGCAACCATTATGAAAAACTCTACGACGGTTCCTAACCTAAAACAAGAGTAAAAACTGAACTACCATATGATCTGGCAATCTCACTCCCGTCCGTTGCAGCATTATTTACAGCAGCCAATATGGAAACAATCTAACTTCCCTATGATGGATGGATAGATAATGAAAATGTGATATACAAAAAATACCCTGCGCCAAATGACATATCAGATAAAGAGCTAGTATCCAAAATCTATAAGGAACTCACCAAACTCCACACCTGAAAAACAAACAATCCAGTGAAGAAATGGGCAGAAGATATGAACAAACACTTCTCCAAAGAGGACATCCAGGTGGCCAACAGACACATGAAACGATGCTCAGCATCCCTCCTCATCAGGGAAATACAAATCAAAACCACATTGAGATACCACCTCACGCTGGTCAGAGTGGCTACAATGAGCAAATCAGAGGACTCTAGATGCTGGCGAGGATGTGGAGAAATGGGCACCCTCCTACACTGTTGGTGGGAATGTAAACTGGCGCAGCCCCTCTGGAAAACAGTGTGGAGGTTCCTCAAAAAATTAACAATAGAACTCCCCTATGACCCAGCAATAGCACTAATGAGAATTTACTCAAGGGATACAGGAGTGCTGATGCATAGGGGGCACATGTACTCCAATATTCATAGCAGCACTCTCAACAATAGCCAAAACGTGGCAAGAGCCTAAATGTCCATCAATGGACGAATGGATCAAGATGTGGTTTATCTCTACAATGGAATACTACATGGCAATGAGAAAGAATAAAATCTGGCCATGTGTAGCAACATGGATGGACCTTGAGGGTGTTATGCTGAGCGAAATAAGTCAGGCAGAGAAGGATAGATACCATATGTTTGCACGTATAAGAGGATTAGGAGGAACCTAACAAAGGACCATGGGGGAGAAGAAGGGGAAAAATAGCCGGGGAGAGGGAGAGAGGCGAACCATGAGAGACTCTTGAATGCTGAGAATAAACTAAGGGCAGATGGGGTGGGGGGGAGGGGGGAGATGGGCATGGAAGGGGGCACTTGTGGGGATGAGTACTGGGTGTTATATGGAAACCAACTTGACAATAAAGTATTTTAAAAAAAATAAAGAGACATCAAAACCAAAAAAAAAAAAAAAAATACCCTGCGCCACTTCATAGATGACAATGGATCACATTGGGAGATAAACCAGAGAAAGACAAAATATGGTACAGTATTGCTTGTGGGGTCTGAAAAATTTTAAAGCTGATTGAAAATAACAATGAATACTTTCTCCTGATATATATGCAATTCCTCACTTTTGCTGAAACATTCTCTGGTTCTTTTTTGCAGGTGTACAAGACAGTGATTCAACAAGTCTATGTTACACTGTGCTCACCCCAAGGATAGCTGCCGTCTGTCACCCGACGATGCTGTTTCAATACCACTGATTATATTCCCTACGCTGTACCTTTTGTTCCTGTGACTTATTCATTCTAGAACTGGAAGCCTGCACCTCTCACTCCTCTTCATCCACTCTGTCCATTCCCTACCCTTCCCCTCTGGCAACCATCAGTTTGTTCTCTGTATTCAGGGGTCTGTTTCTACTTCTGTTTGTCTGTTTGTTTAAAAAACAACAACAACAACAAAAAACCTCCTTGATCATTCTTAATTTCAGGATTTCATTCATACTGCTTCCATCACGTGAAACACTTTCCTTCCCTTCCACCTAGATTCAAGTCGCCGAAAAGGTCTGAGGATTCCAGTCCTTATTCTCTACTCCTGAAGATCTATTGCACTTAACATTTACATTGCACATGATGGTACTGGATCACATACTGTTAGTTACATACGGTTTCAAGTGCATCTCCTTAACTATCTTGTAAGCTTCAGGGGACCTGGTACTTCTAATAGTTCCGTTTAATTTGTCACAGCCTGAATTCAAACAAACAAAACAAGCTTCAGAAAACACTACTGATACGGAAGCCTGGGTGGCTCAGTCAGTTAAACATCTGACTCTTGGTTTCATCTCAGGTCTTGATCTCATGGTTCATGAGTTTGAGCCCAGTGTTGGGTTCTGCACTGACAGCACAGCCTGCTTGGGTTGTCTCTCCCTCTCTCTCTGCTCCTCCCCTGCTCTCTCTCTCTCAAAATAAATAAACATTTTTTTAAAGTAGAAAATATTTCTTTTTTTTTTTTAATGTTTTATTTATTTCTAGGAGAGAGAGAGAGAGACAGCATGAGCAGGGGAGGGTCAGAGAGAGAGGGAGTCACAGACTGAAACAGGCTCCAGGCTCTGAGCTGGCAGTCAGCACAGAGCCCAACGTGGGGCTCGAACCCACGAACCGCGAGATCATGACCTAAGCGAAAGTCGGACGCTTAACCGACTAAGCCACCCAGGTGCCCCTAAAGTAGAAAATATTTCTGTTGCAACGGAGTTTATCACAATTAATTCTTTTTCTTATAAGATAATCTCAATATTTTAAAGTTCACATACCTTGAAAAGCACAATTTACTTTATGATCCCCACCAACTTATTTCTTCAAAATCTATTTGTCCAGTTTAGTCTATGTGTATATATAAATAAATCTTGATGATGACATCAATCTGAAAAAACTATTTAAGGCCTAATCAAATTCTTGCTCACACAGCTACAGCTCTAACTCTTAAGAGCTAGTGTCCTTTCCCTAGAAGAGAGCAGCAGATTCATAGAATAGTTAAAGGATTTTTTTCCCTTGGAGAACAATTAAAAGGCAGGCCTATCCATTTAGAGTAAAGCAGAGAACTGTCAAAAAATAAATTTTGGAAGATTATAAACCAACAATCTTACTAATAAGATAACCAAAGAGTCATTATTTCAATCTGACCGATCTGGAAAACACTAACTTCTTGTAACTTTAAGGAAAAAATGGAGGTGTCTTGGTCTCCATTCAGGAATTCTGAGTCCAAACAAGTGATCTTGACTCTAAAAGGTTTCAATCACAACCATAAAGGGACCTCTGGGTCTTTACTACGGCACAAAAACACTTCATTTCAAAATTGGGTGTAAGTGGTACCTTGGGAGGTAAATGAAGAGCATGATTTGGAATCATCAGTTCATGGTCTCCAGCAGAATAAAAAAATCTCCTCTTCTATCCTTTCCCGATTGAGTAGGGAAGCTTTGCTTTCCACTACATCCTTCTCCAAAACGTATTCTTTTTAAATAATTAAGTACTAAGTCATTATTTCAGCCTATTATCTGCTGCTTCACCATCACATTAAGATTTTACATGCATTATTTGCCCTTCATCTTCCCAGTAAAGTTTCAGAGGGTTTTCATCACTTCCATTCACAAGGAAGAAAATGGATGCCGTCTGGTTTTTCAGTCACTTATTCAAAAATCATCAAGTCATGAAGGTTGTAAAGCTGAATCTCTAATCCATGTTTTCTAGCTCTGAATTCTTGGCTCTTCTTGGCATGTCATGAACGGTTTTAGGAATGCTGGCTACTCACAAGAGAGGAAGTGAAGTTTTCTTTCTTTAGAACAAGCTCTGTATACCACACTTCCCAGTTTTCTGCAATTAAATCGACAAAAACAGATGACCTACGGAGAGTACTGAAATTGTTTTCCCCCAAAGTAAACTGACCAAACTTCTTGTGTAGCGTTTATGCACTAAAAATTATTGCTATGTACTGTGAGAGCACGATACTTAAAGACACCAACATGCTTTGATCACATGATAAGATAGGGAAAGTTCTAGGTGATAGATGAACTGTTAAGGAATAATAATACTGTTTCAGAATTTCTTTACAGAAATTACATTTGAAAAATGTCTGTCAATATTAAATTACTAGTTCAAGGGGGAGGGCACATTTGGAATACGTATTGGCCAAAATGTTAAAAACCGTACAGGAATTAACATGTAACATGTGTCTGGAGTCTGATATCGGAATTTGTTCAGGCTTGTCAATGTAAGCCAACCCTGCAGATTTCTCCCAACAGTCTCTAAGAATCAAGAGCCACTGATAGGAAAACAATAAAAACGTAACTTCCTGCAGACACAGAAATTCCATGGAGAACACAGTTTAACGAAATGTCCTTTCCCCAGGACCACTTGCGAGGCTCAAAGGAAACAATGCGTACGAAATACTGCTATAAAGAAGAGTATGCCTGCTTATTTTTAATCACATTGTAAGAATACCCTATACAGACAGAAACTTTAAACTTCACCAGTGTGCTTTTGGAAGCGGTAACTGTTGCTGGTCGGATGATTCAATTATCATAAACTATTCTGGCGTGTTTCAAAAGCAGTGCCATTTTAAAACATAAAAAATGTCTAAAAATGCAACCATAGTAATAGATTCTGAGAGCATGGGTTGGGGGGTGAGGGAGAAAGACAATGACAAATTGGTCCAAAAGGACACTGAGACTTCATAGTTGGAAGACGATTGTGCTGACAATTAGTAACAGGAAGCAGAGCACAAAACAAATGAATGAAAAAAGCTGATCCAGCACTGAAAGACCTTATTACAGGGCAGCAACATTATTGTAATAAAGGGGCAATGTACTCTCCTCCCTGAAACTTCCACACAGCCTCCCTAGTCTCTTTTCTCTCTCCCTGCATTTCATTTTTTCGTTAGCATCTGCTTGATTATGTATTATTTCCAACCCAAAAGAATGCCTCGCAGTGTTCCTAAATTCCAAGGCTTAAAGGTCCTTCCCCGAACCCTGGCCTTGGGCCTCAGTTAACTTTACTCAAATAAATAAATAAATGCTTTTAAATTAGCATAAAGACACAGGGGAGAAACACAGGAGGGAGTGATTTAGCCTGTAACAGCAGAGGGATCAACAAAACACATGTCCTTCAAGTCCAATTTGTTAAAAATGCAATGATCGGGAGTCGTATGAAATGCCCAGATGGTTCTGCCTCTCATAGTCTGTCTCTCCTCTGACCTCTTGGACATAATTGGAAAAGCAAAGCTGACATGGTCACATACCAGCGAATCCTTGGCATTACGCTCCGGTTTCCATAAAGAGAGGAAGCCAAGAAGATCTGAAACCAATTTTCCCATGGTAGTGGAGAATCACAGGATCCGATCCCTGATACCAACAAACTAGGCTAGAGGCATGGAAAGCCCGCACTTTCTGAACCACCCACGCGAGGAAACCTCTTGCCTCAAGACCCCAAGGCAGTCAGAGATGTTTCAGTTATGCAACGGTGTGCAAAACATCACTGGCCTTGAAAGCTGCAAGTTGGGGGTTTAGTCCCCACGATCACCAGCAAATTCCATGAGCCTTGATTCCCTGGCTACTGAGAAATGATATTATATATCCCGAAAACTGTTAGATTAACAACATGCATACAGATGCTCAACAAGTGGTAATTGTTGTTGTTGTTGTTGTTATTACTTCTCAGCAGACTGAATGTCTCGAGGAATTACCGTGTTGCTGATCGGCAAATCACTGAATATCACCAGAAAGAACTGGACGGATCTCACACTGTAACCTCCCTGACACCACGTGTGACATCTGGAGTCCCTGAGGGGGTGGGAACAGCCGATACTACGTAACAGATTCCTATCAGATAACCAGCCACCTGGCTGTCACCTGCAGGCCTGTCCCTCTGCCACAGTACAAGTAAGAATCGCTGTGACATAAAATACATCTCTCAAGAAACCGAGAGTCTGCTATTCACCTGCTGCGTATAATACCTGGCATACAGCGAAGTTTCTGTGGGTGCTGACTAAACATTACTCAAAGAGAGCTGTCCTCTGAGCCCCACGGAGTTCAATGCACTCCAGCCATGTGTCAGACGGACCTGAGTTCAAATCACAGCTCTGCCTTGTATCTGCTTTGAGGCTCTGGGAAAGTTTCTTAATCTCTCTAGGTCTTGGTTTCATCGTCTCATTTGTTTGCATTTTTAGGTACTTTTATTTCATGTTGTTCCTGTCGTGACATAACGTGATCACATAAATAAAGCACCCTGTACACAGCAGGCTCTTAAAAAACGTTAATTCTCTTTCTTTGCTTCCTCAAGTCCCTCTTCGTTTCCGATGATGGGCCAAATACGACGGGCATATAACCATTTTTTAATCGACAATGAAAAAACTGAATTACACATAAACATCTACGTCCTAGACAATAAAAAACTAAGTTAAAAAATAAGTATTAAACAAATAAAGCAGGTAGTTATCGACATTTAACTTAACCAAGAATGGCCTATAAACGTAATGAGTCCATAGAGGAGTATAGTCAGAAGAGCGTGTGCAAAGAATGATTCTGCCCCTTCAGAGATGGAGAGGCATCATGGAGGACAACGCTGGATCAGTGACAAGATCAAAAACAACAGTGCACACAGGCCGGCTCGTGTTGCGCCGTGTTACACACGCAGGACATTTTTACCTGGAAGACAGAGCTCGGCTGGCCTCTTAATAACTAACTAAATGCAAAAGTGCACACAAGCGAGTGGCCGAACCCACACAGCTGCTTC